GCCTTGAAATGTGATGGAACAGCAACAAAACTGTTACTGGAACAATGAATGCATGAATAAATTAATTTGCGTGAAAAAAAAAACGTAATTGAATTATAATCCATTTTTAAGTTAATTTTCATTCTTTTGTGTTTGCTGCTGTTTAATTTTCCTAGAGCTCCTTGAGCTAAATCTCAACATTCCTCTGGGTTGATTAGAGGATCATTCGAATCGCCTGTTGCACAGGGTGTAGGGACTGACTCCTCAACAGTCACTGAGAACAGCTTGGTTATTCCCCTCTTAGTACCCTTAGTACCTGCATCAGGGTAGTTCATAGTGCCTTGTGCAAGAGTTTTCATGCCCTATGAGTACCTGCTGCCTGCAGTCTTATTTTTGTTTTTATTTCAGTTTATTAATCATCATATGCCCAATTATGCAGCCAAATAATTATTATGCATAGCTTGGCTAGCATTTTGATAATGAATTAATTATGAATTGTTTTTTATCGTACGGCAGCAGTTTTGACAGGTAACATAATAATTTGTTTCAGTGGAAAGAAAATTCAACTTGGTGCTACCATTTGTGTGAAGATGCATTTAAATTGTTTTATTCAGAAAAATTCTGTTCACACATTTTAAATAAGTTTGGAGAAATGCTGCATATGAGTGTAACTAATTAACTGAATGGGTTAACTTAATTACAATAGTTACTTATACTATTCAAGCTCATAAACTTAAATGGTTTAAGGCAATCAGTTCCCTTGAACAGTGTAAAAGTACTTATAAGATATGTACTTAACTTGTATTTTTTATTATGATATTAGAATTTATTATTGAGCTGAGACCTTTAGAATCAGTACCGCCACAAGCTGTCATAGTATTAAGAACACACCACCATTGGGATCCGCATCTGCATAATTTATCACAGTCCAGTTACATCTGTCTGATATCATAGCACTACTTTTTGTGCAATCTGAGAATTAGGGTATGAGTCAAATGGCTTTAGATAGATTACAACCCTGTCTTCGTGCAGTTGGGGATTTAAACACAACACAAAATGAACCACTGTCATGAATTAAAAATCAATATAGTGTTTTTTAAGAATCAATACAATATCACAAGACGTAATATCACCATATATTGATGATGTTATTCTGAATCCTCTTCTCACATGTTGGTGAAGGAGTTTTCCACAAGATTTTTTATCCTCAAAAACACCCAACCAGCATTAGGAGATAAAAAGCATTTTTGTCAATTTTCCAATAAATTAAATCACACAAAATTTCATCTTGGCATAACCTCAATAAACACATTTCTTCAGCATCTGTGTTCATGAGCACATATAATAAACCAGCTCTGCAGATGAAACAGGGTGGGACTGAAAGGAGCCATTCTTAAATCCACAGGAGCATAATGAATCCCCCGCTGTATTAGGAATCAGAAGGCAATAAATCAATAAAGCCTTGTGAGGTATAGGGGATGTTAAATTAGACCGCTTGATTTCTCTGCTGGAGCACACACAGCCTACTTCACATAATGTAGTGGAGTGAGTTGGCTGAGCCAGAGTGAATACATCAATCAGGTTCCATTAGTCCAACCACCAGCTGATCTCTGTTAAAACACCTCCTTGCAGGGATTCTCTCAGGCTGTGTTCGCCACATCAGTCTAGACCAATCAAGCTGTTTGCTTAGTTTCTCATTGGAAGTCCATGTCACTGTGGCTCACACAGCTGCCAAAGAGAGCAAAGCTGCTCTCACAATTGAGAATGACAATGTTGAATTCGTGCTAAGAGATTTAAGTTTATCTGAATGCATGTTCACCACTGTTAGAGGAATAAATGACATAAATGACTTTGCAGTGAGTTTTATTTGACAGTCAAGATAAAGTGCTACATTCCAGTTATATTGGCAGACATCCTCAGCATCCTCACACACACACACACACACACACACACACACATCATGAAACTAATAAAAAGTAACAAACTGAAGGATCCCATATAAAAATTGTCTCTTTGCTCCTCTTTGCCAGTGTTTGTTGAGGTCATTTGTGACTCGTATTACGGATGTCCAACATGGCGTGCAGCTCCCGGGGCTCATATCCCAGCAGGCCTTGCAGGTTGCAGACGAAGCGGTAGACATAGCGTTTGCCGGCCGTCTTGCGGATGATGTTCTTGTCATAGTAGTATCGTAGGCCGCGACTCAGCTTCTCATAATTCATCTTGGGCTTGTTCTTCCTCCGACCCCACAGCAGGGCCACCTGGAGACAAAGCTACAGCTTAACTACGGAGGTCAGTAGGCCTTATAGAGCTACAGACAGCAATACAATGATTATATACAATATTGCATGTAGCAGATTTCACATTTGAGCAATGTTGCAGTAAATGATGTTAGCAATCACTGGAGTCATTGAACTACAGTTGACCCTTCCTAAGTCCCGCCCCTTTCTTGCTTCCCAATAACAGTTGAATAAGCCTAGGTCAGAATCTCAGTCAACTTCCTCCTTTCCTGAACTATGCTAGGCGCGTATGCTGAAAAGACAACCAAAGATTAGGATGGTTAAAAGATAAAAGCAAATTATATATCTTAAGTTAGCTAATGTTAGCAAAATGATAACTAACTAGCTGGCTAATCTACATCAACCGTTGCATCTGAAAACAACTGTAATGTGCTAGGCTAGTCTATGTTAAAAAGACAACCACATTTTGAAGATGGTTAAAAGATAAAAGCAACATAGATAAATGTTAAGTTAGCTAATGTTAGCAAAATGCTGGCTAACTCAAGCGTTAGCTAGCTAGTTAGTTAGTGTTTTGCAAACAATTGCTATTAGATGTAACTTGCTAACTATTTATGTGCATTAGCGAACATAAGATGTATGTGGCTTTTATCTTTAAACCATCTTTCATCAAATGTGTCATCAAACAGTGTTTTACTTCCCACATTGCTCCAACTCGCAGGCATTCTGTACCTCATCAGGGTCCGTCAGCTTGAACTCCCACCCATCTCCTGTCCAGCTTATACATGACTGACAGCTGCGGTCTGTCAGAAGCTCCAGTAGAAACTGCCACAGCTGAATGGGACCACTTCCTATTGAAACACAAGGTATTATAAGGTCTTTAAAGAACTGCTGCATAGATTTACAACTGACATGAATCCATATGAGATATAAAAACTTTATCTCGGACTTCCTTCAACCACTACTCACCAGTGTAACCAGCAAGGATAGCTGCTGGTATCACAGCTCTGCCCAGATCTGTTTTGTTGCCTACATATTCTTTGAAGCTCCTGTGTTGCTGTGGTAAAGTAAAGACATCCTCAGACATGGTCTCTTCTGGGTCTGGGTCTATATCCTGGAGCGGAGCAGGCCAAGAAAGAGAGCTCACAATGTCAGAGTCGTCACTGTTAGCAATCTCCACTTCTGAGTCTGTCTCTGCAACAGAACAGTAGAAACACAGCATGGATGGATGAAGGGCTCTCTGGTGATGGTACAGTTCTTTTTAAACCATGGATGTTTACAATGGTCTCCTGGAACAGTTTTTTGAAGCTAAATTTCAGAAGCTAAAAACAAAATCACTGAGTTATAGCTGCAGTAGGTAATTTAAATACAATTTTCTAAAACTTTCACAATATCCTGAGAGTAGTACATGAGACAGATAAACTGTGAAAAAATCAGCTTCCTCTGGTTTGTTCTAGAGCTTCTGATGGCATTAGCAAGAATCCACCAGTCAAAACAACCAATCAGAGCCAAGGAAGAAAGTTGCTTGTTGAGTCTCTTGAGTTCTCAGGGCGTCAAATACAGACACTGTAGGACCCTGGGAATGAGACTCAACAATCAACTATCTTCAAGCTTCCAACCCAACGTGTCTATGTCTTTCTTAGTTTTAGTCACTGTGTGGTCTACAGTTAGTTCGGTAAAAGAGAGAAACTTAAATTCAGAAGGTTTGCGGTTGTATTTGTCTGTTTAATGAGGAATATAGGTGCAAGAACATTTCCTTTCCTGACATTTTGTGAGTTTGTTTAAAACATTTTTTATTCTAAAACAGCTAAAATGACTTGTGAATCATATTAAACTCGCAGCTGTAGACTGACCGGGGTTCCCACTCTTTTCCAGGAGTTTTCTTGACAATCCTGGACAGCACTTGCTCACAAACGGTCGTATACTTTACCAGTAGGCCTAGTATTGACACATTCAACCCCAGTTTTATTCCTCCCTCATGAAGTTTCACTTCATTACAGGTTGGTGCTCAGTGTTTATAGGACAATCCGCTTCAGCTTGTGTTCGTGGCTGTTCTCACCATAGCAGATTTTTCCACTGTGGACTCCAGCAAATTGACTACTGTTTACTACAGTTGTCCTATTCCCTCCTTGTGGTAATAATTTAAAACTTATATACTTACATAATTTTCTTTTTCTCTGAAGATGACTCGTATTTTTTCTTTATTTTTTGTTCGTTGCAAGGGTGCCAAATCAGCTGCTGCACACAGAGACAAACAGCCTTTATAGTGGACTGTGTAGGATCATCTTCCCCTGGTTTCACCCTCAGGGCACAATGCCATTTAACCTCCACAACAGATTCTCATTTCTGGCTTCTGTATGTCTGTTTCTGTTTGGGTTGAAACATGGTAAGGGGAATTGTATTATGTTTATGTTTGAGTGTTGAGTTGAGTGCACATATATCACTTAGAGTATGTATTTACTAAGCCTTACATTTTATTTATTACAATATTACTATTAGCTATGTTTTTGTATGTCGGCAACAACATATAGAGGTCTTAACCATGGTTGAGTCTTAAAGTTTTTACTAAAGTCTGACAGAGTGCATTTAACAAAGCAATGTACATAGGATCATCTTCAGCAGCTGATGGCACAGTGCAGAGGGGGCGAGCACCTGTAGTGGGCCTTTTAAAGTGCTAATGTAAAAGGCCGTATAGTCAACTTACAGGCTGGGAGGGAGGAACAGAGAGAAATACGGATTACAGTGAGGTGTGCTATTACACAACCATGGACCCTGCCATGGATTTATCATTATAAAGTGACCTGCTGATATTTAACCATCACAACTTCTGATAGGCTAGTTCGGAACTGTTATCAGATAAAGGATAAAAAAGTAAGATCGACTTAACTAGCGAGTATTCAGCATTTTTGACATTCAGTGATGTTGGATGTCCACACAGACTACTAATAGCCTACACAATACAGCCACATAATCAACCTATGGAAGCCCATTTCCGCCCATGTGATGATAATAATGNNAATGGTATTTACAAGAATCCACCGTCCAGGTCTGAATGAAAACAACCAATCAGAGCCAAGAAGGATAGTTGATTGTTAAGTCTAAGACTCTTTGGGACCCTGGGAATGAAAGGTCTTTATATCTTTCTTGGCTCTGAGGAACCTGATTTTTTAACAGATTATCTGTTTCATGTACTACTGTCAGGATATAGTGAAAGTTTCAGAGCATATGATGTAAAAGTTTACAAAAGTTACCTACTGCAGCTTTAACTGTTTGTTGTCTCTTATTGGACACTGGAACAGTAAATATTGCTATCCTGTGAATACAAGTTGTGAGAACAAATTCCACAACTGATAAAAACTGCTTTAACAGATTTTTTTCTTTTGGCTAGGTGAACAGAGGTTCTCCACTACGGTAGTGTATTACTACAACGCCAGAAAAGAAAACTCATATCAGTATCACGTTATAACATTAGTTTATCGTGATAACAAGTTATTTTCACGTTATTATAACATACAAAGTTAACACGGTATAATCAGAAACTTTTGTTATTATAACAATATACTTAATAATGTAATAACTTATATATAATATATATATGTAATGTTTCAAAGTTTTCACCTCCATTTCCTCCTGTTTCCTGCAGCAGAGCAGTGGTGGTCATGTTCCTGCTGGGATCCTCTGTTTTGATCAGATAGTAGTCTTCATTTTGTACAGCTTCAGGGTCCAGAGGGTGAAGGTCTGTCCTCTCAGTAAGATGATACTCAACATGGTAACTATGTTTGTCTGAATGGTCCTGAACATAGTCTGAGTAGTTTTCTGAGGAAACACAGACATGGGAGTCATAAACATATTCATAATAATAGTATAATAACGCAGTAATTAAATGTGATAGTTGTAATTATGATAACTACAATAGCCAAAGGTTGAAGAAGACACATTATTTAATTATTACCCTTGATGATTTGAAGCTGGCAGTAAGATGGTATTGTGCATGTGGGTAATGAAGAACTGCAGTCATATTCATTCTCTGGAGAATAAAATGTTATAGATAAAAAAGAACATATGTTAAAGCTGCAGTAGGTAACAAAAATAACTTTTATATATCATATTTGCTGAAATTTTCATAATTATCTTTCTCGTACATGATCAGGTCGTATGTTCAGGTTTGATACATAAGCCAAAAAATGCCACAATCTCAGGCATGTCAGCAGAGATATATTGGCCCGCCTAAACATTTGTTTGTGGTAATTCACAGTATTAGAAATGAGTAAATATAAATGTCTTTGTAGCACAGAGCAAAAACTTAGGAAGGGTCAATTAGACTTGATGAAGAAAATTACCTCTCCTCATATCCTCCAGATGCTCCCACAGGATCTCTCCTGCAGTACAGTCGGACATCAGGCCCAGGAAAGCCTCTCTGTCCAGGCCACACAGCTCACTACCCTGCAGGCCTCTCAGGTCTGAACCCAGGCAGTGGAGACCAAACTCAGCCTGGCACCAGTCCAGCCAGTAGTTCACCTCCCACTCAGACCACAAGGTAGGATCTGGAAAAAGATTGAATAAATCTATAGCTCTGAATGTACCAAATAATGCTCATCTTCTTCATTTCCACTAATAAAAGCTTTCACTCCTGTACTGATGAATGAAATAGTATGCATGTGACTCAGGCTGTACCCTGTGGGAAGTGATGGTTGATTCTCTCCTGGGCAAATCCAGCAAAACTGGCCTTCACTGCCTGGCTGAGGACCTCCTTACTGGTCGGGGTGAGAGGAGGGACCTCCAGGGCATCCAACTCTGGGACAACAATGAAATATAAAAACCCTCATACAACAGTTCATTGAATTTCCACACCATAAACTAACTATAAGCCTATTAGAAGCAGTATATATACAGTATATGCCTATTTAGCATTATTAAACAGGTAATTAATGGGTTGTAACATTCTATAATAGACTCTTACACAGTTGTTGAAAGAAATTAAGACATTTTGCATTTTCAACTGTAACCCCTCCATTGACTAATCATAACCAGTGTATTAAACAATATAATATAACTCTGGTTTAATCATATGACGTCTTCATATTTTACATTAAAATATTTTTACAATCAAATACAGATGCTTTGGGACTCAACAATCAACTATCTTCAAGCCTCCAACCCAAAGCCTCTTTATATCTTTTGTCCAGGCCTGCTGGATTCCTGCAAATTAGGAGTGCTAGCCGAGTCAGAGAAACCAGATTTTTTTCACAGATTATCTGGAAAAAAATGTACGCAGTAAATGAACAAGTGAACAATTTTCCAAAACTGAATTTTGAGACAAAAATGGCGAGATGAAGCATGTACCCCAGCATTAACAAACCTACGTGAGAGAAGCAACAGAAATGTCATATTTCAAACGGCTATGATGTTGTGCTAGCAGTTAGCAACTATACTGCTACCCGCACTGTGTGGACTAAACCCAGCTACAGCAATGTGAACAACCTGCCCACAGCTTTTACGAAAAGTTGTCAGCACACATACAAAGTCCAATAATGCCGTAAACCTTGCTATTCTGCCAGCTGAGAGCCAGTGACTGACCAGACTGACTGATGTGTTCAACCTGGGTCTACAGAGTGGTGAGTCTTTATAGCCTACATTTATGTCACTTTATGTTAAGCTTCAGATTGAATTGATGTGTGTTTTGATTGTTGCTGACCGAATGCAAACATAACTGGTCGCTGTGATCCCATAGATATACACTGTATTAATATCTCTTCTACATATATGTTGCATACAGTATAAACTCCATTAATGTTTCTAAATACTCAGTGTACCTCACTGATCAACTGATCAACACAGGCTCATAATGATGACGTGAACAGTTATTATTAAAGTCTATGGAGGCCCATTCAGTCCCACAGCACCTGTCCAAACTCCATTCAAGTAGGTAGAACAGAAGTCAAATGTTCACTTTTGTACACTGATCAAATGCACTTGTTATGGTTACATATATGAATGATGTACCATAATATATGACAGCCTCATGTTGAAATGCTTTAAAACCCCCATTCATTCCCATTGAATCTATAACTAAGCTGATACACTGAAGTCAGTGAGTTGAAAGATTCGAAAGTCATCCACAAATGATGCCAATCAGCATCAATGAGCACAGCAATCATACATTTTCTTCAGGAGAGGCTTCTCTAGTTTATTATATTAATTTATGATATTTATTATGAAGGGCTAATTTATTCATAAATACAATTGAGCCCACCGATGAATGCTATGAAATGTAATAAATGGAAAAATATAATGTCAAACTACTATCCCACGGTAAAAAAAAAGATCCTCCAAGCTCAGCATGTTAGGATGAGTTTCATTTATAAAGAGTTTAAACTGCTGTACGTGTGTATACAGGTAATATTACAGGTAATAAAAGGTTAACAAAGTTTTAGGATTTGTTTGTGTGTGTAATCGCATATTAACTGTGATTAAAGCTGTGCATAAATCACTATCTATTATACAAGATG